TGCCAAGGACAGCAAAGAATCAATTCTTGGCACAGAAGGAATGAGGCTCAATTTCCAGCCTTGCACTACCTCTGATTCCTACTGCCTGCAGCCATTAACGCTATCTATAAAGACCCTGCCCAGCCAAGCTTGGCTGTTTCTCCACAATCAAGAACATTTTGAACTTCCAAAAGAATTCCTAATTAGTGCACAACTGATGGTTGAAGCAGTATGGGTGGCTGCTGACTAGGTATTTCTGACACAGTGTTAACATAGCTGCAGCTCACAAAAGCCTGTGGTTTGCTGGTACTCCAGGCTACCTTTGAATTGTTCCCAAAGCTCAGAACAGTAGTGTGCCATCATTTGCCTCCTTTATGGAAACTTTTTCCCCTTCAGAGGTTTTCCTGTGCCAAATGCAGCTCTCCCAGGGGTCTCCAGCTGAACACACCTTTTTCTCCTCGTGATACATGTAGTAGATGAACAGGATGCTGTCGCGCATTCCATCACTCCCAGTGAACTGCTCGAGTGCCACTCGAACATCCATCCATTTATGAGGCTTCCAATTCCTCCACCATTGCAAGGCTCCAGTTTTAACCCAGACTGACTACAAGGCAAAGGAGAATTTACAGGAATAAGGAACTTACTTTCTCCCAAATACTATGTTTTGTGACCACAAGTTATCTCTGCTGCAGGTTAGGCTGTATCATATCAGTTAATTCTGACACATTCATTCAGGAAGCTGAAGACAAAATGAAAACTCAGAAAAGTGGATAGAAAGTCACTGAAATAGCACATGTGCAACAGTAGTAACATTTCACCTCTGAGAATGCAGTGGCTCACAGGTACTTGTGGACTCTAGCAGTGTGCTCCTGTTTCATAGCATGCTAAGGGGTTGGAATGGACCTTATAGATCACCCAGCCCCAACCCCCTGCCCTGGGCAGGGACACCTCCCACCAGAACAGTTGCTCAAGGCTCATCCAACCTGGCTGTGAACACTGCCAGGGTTGGGGCATCCACAACCTCTCTGGGCAACCTGTGCCAGTGTCTCACCACCCTCACAGGGAAAACTTCTGCCTAAGATCTAACCTACATTTCCCCTCTCTCAATTTATCCCCATTACTCCTTGTCCTATCACTACAGTTCCTACCAAAGAGTCCTTCTCCAGCTTCCCTGTAGGCCCCTTCAGATATGGAGAGTTGCTATGGGTTTGTCACATAACCTGCTCTTCTCTTTTCTCCTGTTATAACACAACCTCTGTTTGGAGTTTAAAGGCTTTTGACATAATCTTTTTAAATTTGATGAGATCCCTGGACTCCAAGGGCTTTTAATCAAATGAATTCCGGATGCCTTTTGGCAATTAGCAATGAAGGGACCAAAAATATGAATGAATCTGAAAAGAGCCAAGGAGTCATAACAAAGGGAACACCAAACCAAAGTGCTGCTATTTAAGTGCTGCCATTGACGTCTGCATCACTGTTTTATTTACGCAAGTTCAATTAGTCTCTTCATGGTCACAGGGAGGGAAGTTCACCTACCTGAGTCACTGTCTCAATTAAGAAGCCTCATCCTGTGGTGGAGTAATGAATACTATGTTCTGCTGTTGCAAACATTTCTCTGAGGATTTCAGGTTTCAGAGTACTCAAAGAGTGCTGACCAATGCTTTGTTTGTTCCTACACAAAACTATCACATCATGTTTTTAGATGATGTCCCTGCTCCATGTTTGACAAGCTAATTGTTAATTTCCCACAGGGAGCTCAGTAATAATCCAGGAAAGTTGTCACAGACAGAAATAAGGGCAAGAATAGAAAGCTGAAGATAAGCTCAAATCAGTATGTCAGAAATGTATTATTGATGTCCAGTACTGACAGATGTGTCTAGAAGACAAGTAAAAAGGGTCTTCACTGCTCACCTGCTCAATAGCCTGCTCATAGTGCCTAAAATTCTCCAGTTCCCTCTTTGTCCTTTCACTGAGCTGCTGAAAAATCTGCTTTCTCCATGCTGCTGTCTGTGCTGGAGTGATAGACAGGGACAGAGACTGCACGGATGATGACAAACCTAGGACAGAACCAAACCCAACAACAGCAGTGAGCTTTGAACAGAGTTCTGTGAAAGGTAAAACCTGACACAGCTGTGAACACCAGACTGAAACTACCCAGCCTAACATCATTTAACATCAATTATTGTACTTTGGAATCAATGTATTCCAGCCAAACTTTATAAACAACGCATCATTTAGGGATCAGTAGATGATTATACAGAACCTTTCAAAGCCATAACCTTGTAAAAATGGTTTTGTCACTGAACTGCAAGATAATTAGGTAATACAGTGCATTAAGAGTTATATTGTGAAATACTGGGATGCCACAGTTCATGGTTTGTTTTGAAGATATGGTTATATTCCGCTGTCTTTGAAGAACCTACATTCTAGAGGCACCCAGTTATCAGCTGGGGTGACAGTCACAATGCCTCTGCATTGTGTCTCAGTAGGAATGGCAGGAGTGAGCCAGTTCTTGGTGGCATCTGCATCCCTTGAGACAGCTCTTTGCACTGCCTCCTGCTACTATTCAGTGACATTAGTTTTGCCAGAAGTTTCAGTACAGTTACAAATGAGATGCAGATCCAGCATAGATTATTTTACAAAAATTTTACAGAAACTAAGACAAAATAACACTTTTACATTTATACATCTCAAGCCCAAAGTGCTTTACAGCTAAGTAAGTGCAGCACTGCCCAGACATGGGGCAGGTAACACACTGCAGTCCGTGGCCCATCAGGAGTTTTGCACCACGTGGCTGCATTCAAAAAAACCAAACCAACATTCTTCTTAAAGAGCACATTGAGCTGTGACTGGGACCTGTGCCTGCTGTGGTGACTAGAGTACCTGATGAAGCAGTGAACCATTTCAGTGGGCTGTGCAGATCTACCAGACAACCTCCCCCAGACACCCAGGCCCACAGCGGGTGCTCGTCGGTTCCATACTGGTCGTCGGCTCCCACCGAGAACACGCCGAGGGAGGACAGGCTGGATGTGTCTGCAAAGGTGCTGACAGAGAGCACTGGATGCTTCTGGGCCTCCTTCAAGTCAATGTTTGTCCACTGCAGCTCTGCAGAAGGATTTGGGTTTGCAGAAGATTTATGCACTTCAAGATTAGCTTTCTCATTAGTTGCTGAAGCGACAGTGGCTTCTCCTTGATCAGAGTCCAGTGGATCCAGAGATGGATTTGCAGGTATTTCTGCTGTCTGGCTGTCTGTGCTGTTCCCACTGCTGCTGGCTGCAGCTCCCATCAGGGGAGTGCTGGCAGGATTCACAGGTACACTTGAAAGCTCTGTATCAGAGGAAGTATCTGCATCACCCTGAATGATTGCGTTTGTTTGGTTCTGAATATCATCAGTAAAGAAACAGCCAGCACTGAAGGACAAATAGATAATTAATCAACTAGCATCCACTGCATTGTCAATTAGCACAGGCCTTAAAATACAGACACACAGAAATTGACCTAGTGTTTCAGCTTTAGGAGAGAAACAGCAGAGTCAGAGGAAGTATCTGCATCACCCTGAATGATTGCGTTTGTTTGGTTCTGAATATCATCAGTAAAGAAACAGCCAGCACTGAAGGACAAATAGATAATTAATCAACTAGCATCCACTGCATTGTCAATTAGCACAGGCCTTAAAATACAGACACACAGAAATTGACCTAGTGTTTCAGCTTTAGGAGAGAAACAGCAGAGTTCCTTTTTAAAAACTCTATCATTTAGTGCAACACAAACCTGGCAGACCAGACTAGTAAATCTGAAATGCAGGAAGGAATTCATTGATCTTTTCAAACAATCAGTGGTGTTGGCTGCCTACAACTCTTAGGAAAACATTGAAGCAACATCACATTTTCTGAATATGAAATAATGAATAAGGTTTTTTTAAAGCCCGTTATTAACTTTATGATTTGCCTTAGCTACAGAGGCTTCTCAGCGCACACTCTGTCCAAGCAAGTAGCTTCTGTACCACTCCCAGACCCACTGGTATGTCTTGCACAGCCCAGAAGGCCAGCAGGGAGTTACTGATTTAATCTCTCCAGGAAAGGAAACATACAGAGACCCAAAGGAGAAGCATAATTCCTCAGCAGATGTTGACACTCCTTGATACCTCACAGATAATGTTTTCTTTTATTAGGGACTAGTTCCAGATAGTGATAGTAAAGCCCAGAGGAACAAGCTTCACTGCAAGCATGCAGTGAATTCCAATGTGGGAGCTTCAGTTACTGCTCTGAGTGCAACAACTGCTGCTCACTGTGAATTTTAATGGCAAAAAATGCAAATGCCTTTTGGCATACATAATGGCTACAGATGTCTTCCCTACTCCTCCCTGTCTGTACCACCTGAATGTAAAGAAATAGCTCCTAGCACTGAAAGTCTTAGTGGACAGAGTTTGAGAAAGGATGTCACTGTGTACCTGAGCAGACTTGTTGAGCTCCCAGTCTGAGATCTGTCACTCTCTCGGCCAGACACAATTGCCTTCCATGTCTTCCCACTGAGCTCACTTGGTGTGACACCTTGACGAAAATAAATGGCTCTGTCATCGCAGCCAATTCCCCAGACCTAGGGAAGGAAAGGGCTTGTTGAAGGAAATAGCTTGGAACACAGTAGCTACCAGCTACAACACAAGTTGCAGTGGTACAAAATTCAGCACAAAAACCAGGCCACAGCCTTTTCCTTTTGTGTTCTTCCTTAATGCTGATACTGTAGATGCAGTGCAATATTCTGTACCATCAAGAGAAAACTGCCTGCACCTCCATGTGCCTTATAAGAGACTTGCTGACTTATCTTCTGCTGCAGAACTCAGCCACACATTCCTTGCCAGCATTTCAAGCCCATGGCCTTCCCATTCAGCAGGCCCTATTGGCACTGCTGACAGTCCTCACCATGTATGAACAGTGCCTGGACAAAGGGGAACACAAACATCCTCACAGCTCTCTTACCTGGTTATTTAAGCCTACAGTTACCATCATCATTTCTCCGACCATTTCAATCCAGCTTGTCCCACAAGGATTATGTGAGTTCACTCCTCTTCTAAACCACACCTGTAACAACAACAGCAGGAAGTCTAAATTTTGCTCCTTCTGCACTAGCAGGCAGACAGCTGGAATTCAGTTTCTTTAGTGGATTATTCTTAATCTCTAATGCTGACTTCTCTCATTGTCTTAAGTCACTTACTTCCTTGATTATTCTGCTTTATCAGGTAAAGATAAAATAATTCTCTTGACAGTACCCACACTGTGTCCAACTACAGCCAGAAGAGCCCACAGGAGGACATTTTTTATGCCTTTCTGTGACAGAATCAAATTCTCTGCTGTTGGAAAAATACTTTCTATTGCCTATCAACTGTAGTCTATTTTTGATCCCCCTCCCCCATGGAGGGAACTGTCAGAGGGATCTTTTTAGTGGTACTGCTCTTTAAATTGTCTCCCCTTGGATCAGGTTTTGCCAATCCAGAACTTTCTGTGGACTGGGTACCTGGAAAAATTTCCCTCTGCGTGTAGTATATAGTGGCAATCAGCTCCTTTAGAAGTTGCTGGTTGAATCCCACATAACCAGTATACTTGACTGTCCTGTGGCAGATCTAAAAGGAAAACTCACCAGCTTATCTCCATTTATGACAGTGGGTTCATCTGGCAGATGGAGCAGACTGGGCACAGTCTGTTACCACAGCTCAGCTGACAAGTAGTGACTCATGACACCACAGAGAAACTCGACAGAACTGCTCTACATGCACAGAGTTCATGCATGGGTTTGAATTCAGTGTGAAGGGAGTTGATTCAACCAGCACAAAAGCACTCTAGTACCTTCTTCAAGACTTTCAGGACTCCCTGCAAGGAGCAGGGAGTTGGACTCAATGATCTTTATGGGTCCCTTCCAGCTTGAGATATTCTATGATTCTAAGTTAAAACCCCAGTAAGAAAGTAATCACACATACACGTAACAGATATGTCACCTAATAAAAACAAAAAAACCCCATCCCTACATTAGAAAGCTGATGAAGAGAGAACAGTTGCAGTAGGAAGATGAAAAATAGCATGATACAGAAAAGTGTAGATGAAAATATTCCTCATGCTGCTTTCGATGTAACCTACAGCCCATGTGGGAACAGGACTGGGCAGCAGAAGTCCCTGCCATTTCAATGCTTAATATCCCTTAGAAATAGGCCCTTATTACATCCCCACCCACCTGCCACCGCTGTCTGACTTGGATTTAGAAAATTCCACCAAGAGAAAAGCAGAAAGTCTTCCTTAAATTAAACTGAACTGTGTCTACCACAATGCACAGAGTATTCTCAAAGCAGCAAGGGGAACTAGAATTCCCCAAACCATGGGGATAGTGAGTCCACATCACCAATGCTTCCTGCACAAGTTACAGGGCTGTTGGAGAAAAGCAGAGAGGAAAAGGAAAAAAAAAGCAGAAGCAGAGCATGACCACTCTTACTTTTCTATCCTTTGTAACACACCACACCACGTCAACCCCCACAGAGACGTGCATAATCCCATTTTCAGAGCTTGGAGACTCCACAATACTCCAGGAAATTCCTGCAAGAAGCAAAACCCAGAAGACATTGTAGGTTACTTTCTTACTCAACACTATACAAATCAAAGGGGTTTCCAGCTAAATTTAACAAACTTTACCTTGAGGATTATTCCTATCAATTCCTTCTCTCACAATAGCTTGCCCTTCCCAAAGAGTTGCCCAAAGGAGGTCATAGGGTCCACAGCTGATCTGTACAACTTCACCAGGAGTGGTGATTAAGGACCACGTGGAACCTTCTGGATTGTGGTGGCAGACATTTTCTCTGTACCATACCTAGACAAGTTTAAAAAAACACAAATGAAACTAGAAAAAATGTCACCACAACAATGAAATCATTGAGACACACATAAAGGCAAACTGGAAAGAACAGTCCCCCTTTAACAACAGGATTTTTTTTGCAGTATATGGCACTCTGACCTTTAAAGGTATTTTTTGATGTTGATTATGCAGTTGAAGCTATTTCCTTATGTACTGAAGGAGGAGGCCTTTCCACACAACAGCTTTTATCATGGAACCAAATCTGGATTGGGTACAGTAACTTATTGCTACAAGTTCTGTGTGTACTTCAACATTTAAAACCACTTCAGTGTAATTCAGGGCATGTTATATAAACCAAGAATGAACAAATACATAGCACAGAAATGTTACTGTTAGCTGACAGCCTGACCTCACTTTCACTGAACAAAGCTTGCCACAACATGGGGAAAAATTTCCATTCTCTGTGCAGCCTTCAGTGACATCCTGTCCTTTGCCACTCTTGAACTGTGAACTCTTCTACAGATCACAGTCAAAGGAGGCAGGTCAAACATAGAAAGCATCCAGTGGTAGCCACATGAATGCTCCACATGGCTGCTGAGTGCTAAATCCTCATCTTTTAGAAATACTTTATTTCTCTGGGGACTTTTCCTTGGGAAATGAAAGCATTTTACAATGGCAGTCAAGTAAGCCTGGAGAGTGGAATGCTTGTCACACATTACTAGTAAGTATGAGGCATAGGGAATTTTATTTTCAACAATTTAACCAAGATTGCTGCCTCTCCAGGCAGTGTCAAGTGTGACTGAAAGCTCAGGCTACCTGTGAAAAGCATTACATTCTGCCCTGTGAGACCACAAGTCAGAAATTCTCTAGAGGCAAAGGAATGTCAGATACATGTAAGGATGAAAGAAGGAAATTAAGAATCAAATCTTTACAGCACTGAGCAAAAGAGACCTGATTACAGGCCTAGAATCAACAAAAAGGAAATAGGCATAGTTTTCAACAGAAAATAAACTGAAAACATTTCAGAGGTGGATGCCACACTGACAAATCAGGAGGTGACCACTTTCTAATCAATAAGCCTTAGAAAACCATTTTGCAAACTCTGTCTTGAATCATTCCTGTCTCTCCACCGCAGAGGCACAGCACAATCCTTAGCAAGAATCTTTATCAGGTTCTAAGGCTCCTTCTCTTTGTCAGTTTTCTGGGTATTTTTTCAGGATACAGCACTCAGCCCAAGGTTTTAAGATTCACCTGTCCATGGAGTTTCAAGGCTTCCATAAAACAGTAACCCTGTGAGATTCTAAGCCTTTCCATTTACAACACAAGTGGTTACATAATGCAGTCCCAAAGCAGTCGCAAAGCTTTTACATCCTCTGCCAAATGCACAGTGTATTTCCTTACCAACCTAAGACAACAACAAACCTGCCTTGCTTTAAAGGTATTTAACTCTTTTTCATTAGTAATGTATATTGGAAAACTTAGGGAACACACACATACCCTTCCTTGTAAAGAAACTGCCCACACTGACAAACGGCCAAGAGGCTCATCCGTGATTTCCCAACCTCCGATGGAGATGTCATTGAAAGGGTCTGGCAACTGCTCTGGGTCATCACTGGATACGATCTGAAGCAAAGGGAAGGAAGATTGAGGAGACACTGCAAACAAACAGCTGATTTGGCTGGTGGCCTAACTTATTTCTTAAAGATTCGTTTATGTATCACTTCCTAAAGTGGCTGAGCATGGAGATTCCTCCTCTCATTCAAGGCTGCTACGTGCACAAAGAGAGGAAACGTTGCCAAACCAGCATGAAGCACTCTGTGTTCTGTACCCCAAATACCACAAATTACAACTTTTGTACATTCTCAGAATGGAACAACAATTATTAAAGAAGTTATTCACCTAGATGAGGAACAATGCTAGATAGGTGCCACCTTGAATGAGAGTGCTGTCTCACCCAACCAAAGGGACTTAAAAAGTTGGTCTGAAATTGGCAAAGGAGCTAAGCATCCATCTCCAATTGCATTCCCATGAGATTTAGCACTGTATTACCACAGGTCTGTATGAAAAATCTCAACCTTCCATTTATGCTTGCACGAACAGCAAGCTGGAAGTCAAGGAATGCAGGTCCAGCCTATAGAGAGGTGACAAAAAAATTAATCTCCTTGCACTTATAATTGATTATTTCAGAAAAACAGTTTATTTATTATTTAAAAGGTTTGCAAACCTTTGCCCAGACATCCCGTGATTTGTATCTCCTGTATCTGATCCACCTCCTGCGTCTGACACAAGAATTCCATCTCTTATCCTTTGTGTAGGTGCTGGGGAAGTCTATGGCATAAGTCCAGCCCTGCAAACACAGGTTTCCTTGTATGAAAATCAGGATCAAGGGAAAGCTTGGAATCATAACTCAGAGCAGTTCTGCACAAGAGTCATGGCACAAGTTACTGTGCATGTCTCCCATTAATAGATCAGCTAATTCCATGACGGATTTATGAATTGTGTCCAAACTCCTCTGCATTATATATACAGAACAAACAAGACACAGTAAAACATTTTACTTGCTTCACATTAAAGATCTTAAATAACAACAGCATTCAATTGCCAGCATTTCATGGCCTGATCAAAAGGAAAAAGCTTCTGCAGAAGCTCCTATAGACTTCAAAAGCCTTCAAACAAGATCCTTCAAACAAGATCCTTCCTTGTGTTGTATGACAGTTGAGCTATTTCCCAGAAAGAAGTATCTGTGGGAAGTTTTATTTTCCCAGACCTTTTACAAGTCTATAAAAGTGCCTTTTATTCTACAGACTAAGGATTCCCAGAATAGATTTCTTTTTGGTATTGTTCACCTACCCCTTTCTCTGTTGGTTCCCCTCCAATATTTTCATCCACATACCAGTCAGACTCCCACTCCCAGTGTGGTGAAGGCAGTGTGAAACTATCAAGCTGCTGATGTTTCAGCCCGCTCACATCACTCCACTGCCAGCGGTCGCTGGGCAGCAGTTTCTCACAAAAGCCACCAACTGGATTCCAGCGCTGCCAGGAATAATAAACACAGCATTTCATTGGGGATCACATCATCTCACTGGGCATCTACAGGGAGTCATCAACGACACATTTCTTATCTTCTGCAGCAGGAGTAAATTCCTGGGATGAATGAGAAAGTGTTCACTCTGTGAGCCCTTCCCTAACAGGCCTTCAGAGGAAGCTGGTTTAGGCATCAAAGAAGGGCTGACTGCAGAGCTGGTCCCAACCAAGTCATCTTCAGCCACACAAATAGGAAGATCAAGTGATATATTTTACTACTAACAGTGCCTTTTCCTTTGGTGATGCATGGCACCGTGACACTGTAATGCTGTATAGATGGCCCTGGGATCTCTAATCTACTCCCTGGAGAAAGATGATTAATATCTTATTTGCACTAGAGAAATAGCAGAGCCTCTGTGCCAGAAACCACGTTGAGATAACTGTATCAGCAAATCTCCCCTGTATCTTGTGGTATACCAGAGGGTTTTTTGTCCCTAATCTGGCTTTAATCAGTTACAGAACAAATAACATGAGGATTTTCACCCATACAGCTGTCATTTGTCTTTTTTTCCCCACACTCCTACCTACTACAGAAATACAGGCAAAATCTGTCCTGTAACACTGCCTTACATTTTGGGGCAGGGGGAAAATGAATGGTTCAAAATCCTTCTATAATTTTCATACAAAGTATTATTCACTTTTACTAGCTATCTGGCTAAACTGCCTTGCACATTGTCTGTAAACTACTTGAGTGTAATTTTGTCACTGTTAGCTCTTGTAGAATATTTGGTTTTCCATTTTTCATAGCCTAGAACACACAAAACGAAAGTTTTAAAATAACAAGTACAATTTTAAGCTTTGCATTTTTAAAGAACAGGTTTACACAAGAAAAGTAACATTCTTATGTGGTTGTATCAATATTAAATAATGTATAAAATTAATTTGCTGTATTTTTCCCCATGCACGTATGTTCATGTCTTTTCTCAATTTATATTCATCCCATTGCCTCAAAGAAATGTGCTCAAGAAAATACTTCAGTTTTCTCTCCCAAATAACTTTTGGTTAACTTAAACTAAATTAGATAAATGTATTTTAAAATACTGTTTTGAAGACATTATTTGGAAGTACATCACATAGGATGGTCTTAACACTCCTGTGCAAAAGAAGCAGGAAACACTGTACTTTAATGGAAAGCTAAGTCTTTATAAGAGAAGTCTGAAACCCTAAAAAATAGCATTTTTTAAAGAATAATATAGTTCTGATAATGTATCTTTGTTGACTGGAGTTAGACTGGACATTTTCTTAAGGGGAGTGTGTATTTGTCACTAAGGAAAGGAAACCACATCATGAAAAGGGTGAATGTTCCAGTCTGGAATGGCTCACACAGAACAGATTGTAGCTCACATGGCATTGCTTTTGCTAAAAGCAAGGAAGGTTAGCCTTCCTTTGGGAATTTAAATATTAAAGGAATAACCTGCTATTTGGCACATAAAATACTCTTTGGAAACTTCAGGCAAAAAATGAAAACAAATAAAACCAATCAATCTTCCTGTGAGAAAAACATGCAGAGAGCTGATGTACAGATTTGCTGTCAGTATGTGGTGGTGTGACAGAGGTACTGTAACTTTCCATACCTGATTCTCATAGGTTTCTTCCTGGTATCTAATAGGAACATCACCTGAGAACACGTAGGTGTACACTTGGTGATCACAGGCTATTCCCCAGCAGCACTGTTTGACAGCAGAGACCCGTTTGAATTCCAGCTGTGTGTCCTTACACAGCTCCCAGTACTGGCCAACAGTAGACAGAGTGTAAACCCTCCCAAAAATGTCAACAGCCCACAAAAGGGAGCTGGGCATGGCCATATCTGAAAGACAAAAAGGAGGTATTAATGGAAATTATGGGTTTAAAAACGGATCTTGAACCTACTGTAGATCAGTCCTGTTCTGAGCTATCATCAGTCAAATTAAATAAAGATGCACAGGATGATTTTTTAAAAAGAGCCTGTGCAAAGCTGGCAGCCAGTTCTGTCAGAGCTGTGCAGCCACACCTCTTAGATGGCTCTGAACAGCCATATGAAAGACCTTGATACCAGCTCACTATTGTCTGTCCTACAAGAGCTCACAACACAAAGGGAACAGCTTTGGCAGGCTGGGGACAGCAGTCAGCTCTGAACTGAGATGAAGCAGCACAGACCCTTTCTAGCAGGCAGCTTTACTCTCAAGATCTCGTAGTGCTGGTGGTGATACACACCCTGTGCATCTCCATTCCACAAAGCCATGATATTCTACAATATTTCCTTCTCAGCCTCCTCTCAGTGTAAGCAACATACCTACACAGGTACACAGCAAAGATGTAACGAGAGCTTCTCTGTAAGCACACATCTAGTTTGAATCCACGGACATACTGCCTATTGCTGCCAGGAAATCTCTTTGCAGAGCATTCTGGATCAGATCCAACCACTTTGGGATCTGATCTTTAACATCCACAGGTGTGGTATTTCAGGATACATAGAGCAAGGTTTGACAGCAGAAACAAAGCTGTGTCATTCCAGTTCTATCACAAAATCTGTCATTTTCTGGGCACTGCAGCCCTGCCCTGTACAGTGTCAGCCTTTTACATGAGGCAGGTGTGTGCCAGTCCTTCCCAAAGCCAGGAAGGGCCAGAGTATTTCTGTCACTTGCCCTTCTGGGTACCATTAAAACAGACAAATTTTGGCTGCTTTGTATGTCTGACAGTCAGAACTACTGATGAGTAATCTGAACTTTGCCTTCAGTTCCTTTAACTATGCAGTGGGGGACCAGGAGGGGAAAGGTAGACAAGAGGACTCAGATGCAACACAATGAAAGAAGAGAGGAATTCTTGCCTGGAGTCAGTGTGGAACACTGCTTCTTTGTTGTCAGATGGCAACTGTGCTTTCCACACAAGAGCCTGAGGAAACCTGCCTGGCTGCCTGCTTTCTGACAGAGAAGCAGTGATACAGAAGGACTAACCTGCACAGTGTATGTGAACGGCAGAGGTGAAACTGTGGAGAATCTGAGCCAGCTGGGTCAGTGTCAAAGAACAGCACCGTAAATTCCCAAGGGATCCCAGGGAGGATGTTTCAGAAGACTTTGATTCCTAGAACTGCTGCTGCTACAAGCACCTAAAGCCCTGGATCCACCAGGGAGCAGGTAACAGTGAGAAGAAAATGTATAGTGGCAAAGAACAAGTGAGGCCAAGGAAAGGTCAGAAGCAAAATTCTCCTATTGGTTGTGGCAGCACAACTAAGATGAATCCTCTAGTTTTAACCTTTTTTTTACCTCAGTTGCTGGAAGTGGGAAGGCAAGCATCTCTCTCTGCTCTTGGGCCAGCCATTCACCTTCTTTATATTCTCCTGGACGACAGTACCGAAGGACATAATATGGAAAAATGGAATGGAACAAAGTGAAGATGAGGTTGAAATGGAGAAGATGAGTGTGTACCACTGGGAAAATAAAGACCATGATAATGAACCTTTCTGTATTAGCACTTAAAATTCTGCAAAACAGTGTTTATAACAGAAGAAAATGTTATGCATTTAAGCAATCAGAATGTCAGCGAGTCTGGAGAAAGGGAAGCATTATGGATAATGCAATAATGATAGCTACCTAGCCAGGTATGAAAGAAAAGTGCTGCTTGGGTCTCTTAAAAGGTGTGAAAGTAAATAAGGATCTCTAACTGGAATGACAGGCAGGAAGAAAAGTACCTGGAACAGTCCCGAAAAAGGTAGTGAAACTTCCAAAGATTATGAAGTTGGGAAAAATATAGATGGGACAGAATTAAAATAATCCAGGCAGATGCAACTGGATTAAAATCCTCAAGGCAGCCAAGCCAAGTGAGAGTTTGTGAATTCTTTCACTTGAATTTTTGAGACAGAGTGTTTGGAGAATCAATGGGAAATCCCAAATGCTTTTGGAATTATAAAGTTTAAGACTTCACTTGAGGTCCCTTTGCACTGACTGTGCTGCAGAAGATGAAGACAGATTATCCTTGATTTTCAAGGATGCTCAGTGCTCGTGGCTCGTGCTTTTCAGTGAAGGCAGAAGTTGCCCAGTGTTCTCACAGGACTGGAAATTACTCCTCCTCCCCCAGCTCACCCAGGTCATTTCCGATAGAACTAAAACTAGTTAAGTGAAGACGATACACCATTATTTAAAATTTCCAGTTGCCTGGCATAATACTGATTGCTACAGAACTCAAGAAAAATATCCCAACTAACTCCTCGCATGTTATACCAGTAATGAGCTCCCCCAGGAGAGCAGGGACGCGCCCCCGAGTTCAGGCCGCGGACGGTGCCCGCGGGGGGAAC